AGTAGCAAGGCACTTGTTACTAGTAGCAAGGCACTTGTTACTAGTAGCAAGGCACTTGTTACTAGTAGCGTGGCACTTGTTACTAGTAGGGTGGCACTTGTTACTAGTAGCTTCCTACCCCCCCCCGGTGATTTTGGAAACAACTCGGTCGGCTGGGAGCGGAAGGGCCTTAGTGTCCCTTTACTGAAGGATGGATACATTTCCATTCATTCAGCCGTTGTCCATTCTTTAAACCAGTTCTTGGAGCAGCTTTTGTGTTCAATTGAGCTTCCTCCACAGGGGAAAGTTCACAGGTGAGTGTTTATGTTAGTTCTGGTTGAACAATCTGTGCTCAAAGCAGATATCTTTGCAAGGAGATCCTTCAAGAGGAAAGCCAGGAACTCAGAAAAGAAACACTTGAGATTGCTCGCAAAAGAACTCCATAAACTTTGCTTACTCAATCACTCCAACCGAAGAGCGACGGCCTCCAAAACGAAAAGGTTCTTGAAAGTGACTGGCAGAATCTGTGTTCTGATTTCTTCACAGCTCGGTCACACTATTTTTCCAAGATGAACATTTGTCGAAGCTCATGAAGACAGACGCCGGTGCTGGAGATGATGAGCTCAAGGCCACTAAGGATCAATCGGAGGCCTGGCTGGGGATGGGATGTGGATGTGGACCAATGCAGTTGGGTGTGTCTCGATGGATGTGACGTAGTTTCTGGATGTTAAGCCTCTGAGAACAAATCGTCCAATGCAGTCGAGCAGACAGGTTTTTGCTTGCTTGGTTTACCTTGTCCATCGCTCGCTCTAGGTGCAGAACCACAAGAATTCGTGCCTTGGCGTTGCCCGATGGGACTCCTGTGTTGCCAGCCAGTGAAAAGAGATATGATATGATATTCTTTCCTTTTGTCATCCCTGATGACTCCATTAGTCTGAATCACAGAAATTCTCAGAGGGTTACTTCACTGGCTTTCCAAATGTTTCCAAGGTCTGTCAGACTAGGAGCAAGGACGCTACTAGTAGCTCCTGGCCTTACAGCTAGTAAGAAGAAGCTACTAGGAACAAGGGCATCGCTAATAGTAACAAAGGGCATTACTACTAGGAGCAAACCGCTACTAGCAGCAAGCAGCTACTAGTAACAAGACGCTACTACGAACAAGGGCATCGCTAATAGTATCGAAGGGCATTACTACTAGGAGCAAATAGCTACTAGGTTGGAGGCCATCGCTACTAGTAGCAAAAAGCTACTACATAGTAACAAGAAGCTACTAGGAACACTAGGAACGTTTCACCAGGAATTCGCTTCTCTGAGGCTCGAATTCCGAGAGTTCAGCAACCTGAAGGCCTTACACGATGCCAGCAAGGCAAAGCCAAAGCGCAGGGACGTTCGGTGCGGCGTTCGGTGCGGGGTGACGAGCGTTCGTGGTAGCGCTCAGCATATTGAGCATATTGGGCATATTGTCCTTACCTCAAGTCCCTGTCATCCTTGGAATGCACCAATCACTGAATGGAATCACGTTGGCAAACTAATTTTCCTTTTTGAAGATTTGACCATCGCCGTTAAACAACGCAGCACAAGAGAATCATGGATACCAAAAGTACGGAACTCATCCACACTGAAGCGGGCAGACAGGCAGACTGTTTACCTCCATGCTTCCTCCCGGACAGCTAGTTGAACCTTAGACTCTACTTCAACAGTGCCATCGAAGGAATCTAACTAGATCCAATTAGAATGTTGAGTGGAATTCTCCAGATTAGGAAAACAGCTATAAGGTCGGTTGGAGGCCATCGCTAGTAGGTTGGAGGGCATTACTACTAGTAACAGGAAGCTAATTAGGAAGAAAACTTCCATTTGCCTCGGCCTGGACTGCAAGACCTCCGCTGCCTCAATGGGCTCGGCCTTCCTGGCATCCGCTGCAAGCAGCACGAGCAGCACGAGCTGCTTCTGCCGGAAGAAGCCGGAAAGCTCCTTGCGCGGCTTCCTTTGACGCGACGCTTTGGAGGCGAAAGAGAGGAAGATGAGGAAGGAACGTTTGGCGGTTTTTCCAGAGAGAGAGAGAGAGAGAGAGCGGAAAAAGAAAAGGAAAGACAGATGAGAAAGAAAGGAAGGTTAGCAAAGCCAGTGCGGCGAGGCACTGACATGAGATGATGTGAAGGAAACCGTGTACGAGAGAAAAACTTGAAGTGATGAGATCATGAGATCCTAGATTTATATGATTTATATGAGAATAATCTGCAACACTTCTCACAGACGAACAAGCACATGTGTCTTTCCTTGACACTTTCGAACTTGATCCAAATGGCTTTATGATGATTCATTGGCGGGTGCAATTGGGCGACTTGTGGTCGATGTGCGTGTGCTTTCGAGGCCATGCCTTGCTTCGGAAAAGGGCACGGGCTGCACGGGTGCATCTGGGGCGAACGATCGTTTAGCTGAACTCACGTGACAGGCAGCCGCCACAAATCGTTGCGTTTTACAACTTTCTGAAGAAAAAACATGCGATCGCTGCCAAGCAGAATGTCTCGGCGTTTGGCTCAAGTTCAAAGCATTTAGTCACATTTAGTCTCATGCCTTATGAGAAGCCACCAGTCATCTTGTAACAAACCTGCAGATGCTTCAGCCCAACAAGTTCGCGAGATATGCTGAACTGACGTTAGTCCTGTCAGCACTTTTGAAGCAGCCACCCTGAGTGATTTTCAAAGTGCAAATGCAAGAACACTTCCTCAACAGTTCCTCTGGTCATTGATCATGCCTTGTTGAGCAGCTAAGAAGCTTTTCAATTCCAAGAGCGAATCCACCACTTCGAAGGGCTCCCAGCGATGAATGGCTTTGTGGCGGGGCAATTTCGGATCTCCAAGCCTGAGACAGGCTTCCAGCAGAAGGCCATTTCAGCTTGGATGTGGGTTCCAGCTCCCTCTTGAATGGGCGAACCACAGCCAAAGGCGTTCTTCTTGTTGAATATTGCTCTCAGGCGTTTCAATAGCATTCTTGCTCTCATTACTACTCTGCTTTTCATTACAATTAGTATTAGCATAATTGTTGTTGGTCGTAAAAGGGCAGTGAAGTCCCTTGCAAACCCACGGGTCAAACCAGTCAGGCTCGGCTAGGCTAGGTCCTCTCACTGCAAGTCTCGAGGCTGGCAGCTACCGGGACTATGGTGATGGAAGTCAGTTCCAAAAGACCACGGGCCTGGCGAGGAAGCGGACGACAGGCCGTGTCGCTTGGGGAACATTCGAGAACTGTGGAGTGGTGGTCAGAATTCCCAAAGACGGATTGGGTTAGATGTTTACCGTTCGCTTTCTTTTGTTCCCCCACTCCCTCCCATTTGTTCAGGCACCGCTATGCCTCGGGAGAATTCGATCCACAAGGGCTTGGTTGTTTGTACCAAAGAGTACGGCGCCTTCGTCCAGCTTGGTCGCTGACTTGCAAAGAGCTTGACTCGGACGCGGATTCGGGCTGAGCGATGCTGAGCGGCTGAACCTTCCAAACTCGAACGGCTGAGAACACGCGAACCTCGAACCTTCTTGAAAGGGCCCTTTGACTTCGTAACAAGCTTGACACCCTTGTGGAAGAAATAGTGAACACCTTAATCACTTGACTCAGCGGTGCTTTTGTACCGCAGGGCCGTAGGGTTGAAAGGGCTGCAACACTTCAACACTGATCGTTTGGGTGCAGGGAAGGAGAGAGAGAGAGAGAGAGAGAGAGGGAGAGGGAGAGGGAGAGGGAGAGGGAGAGAAAGAGTTTGATGTGCCAATGGAAGTAAAGCATGACGAACCATTGACATGACATGTCATGACCAACGCAAAAGCATGCTTGTTTTGGCAACATGTTGGATTCACGAGGCAAAGGTGAGAAGTTCAAGGATGGCTTTCTACACATCGGCTGCTTGCCAAACCCGCCTGGCGTGGAGCGTGTTGAAGTCGTGCCCTGGCAGAGCTTAGAAATCCAGTTGCCCGCGGAGCGGACTTGGAGAAGAGTTCAAGGAGGAATTCCTTTGGTTTCCCTCTGGAGGATGACAAAGAATGTGGAACTTGCAAGATAGCGATGGCCTCCACCATCCTCCACCCTAGTAGCGACGGCCTCTAACCTAATAGCTAGACCTTTTTTTAGACCTTTCTTCTTGTTACTACTAGGCACTACTAGGAACAAGTGCATCGCTACTAGTAACAAGTGCCTTACTAGTAGTAACCTAATAGCTAGACCTTTCTTCCTTTTTCGAATAGCGATGGCCTCGGCAAAGTCCTGGAAGGATCCGATCCCTTCGGTGCCCTTTCTCGGTCGCTAGGTGAACTCTGTGGTGCGAGAGGGTGACACCGTTTGGGTCAAAGTGCGAGATGTGGACGTGCCTTGGCGAACATCGCGGACATTTCCAACTTTGAGGACATTGACTTTAGGGTTGCCAACTCCACTGAGGAAGAGAATGGCAAATATGCCTTGGACATGAGGCGAGAGGAAAAGGTGGTACAGCGTGCAAAGCCATGCCCACCAAATCCCACACAAAATTCTAATAGCGTCTTGTTTCTACTAGTAAGGCACTTGTTACTACTAGCGATGCACTGGTAACAAATCCCACACTTGTGGATTTCCTTTTTGTGATTTTCCTGAAACGAAGCCGCTAGGTTCGTGCACCAGAAGGATGGCCAGGACTTGGATCCTTTCAACGGCCGAGGTCGAGTGCCAAAGGATGTGGGATGGGTGTGGGCGCCAAGCTGCCAAACATGCTCATGACATTCTCGAGCTGTTGGCCATAGTCAGCCAAGTTCAACAGGAAAGAGCACCTGAATCAGCTTCCAGGATGCTAGCTTGGCGGGTCTTAGTCAACTAGACAGACTTCTGAACGGGTGATCCCAGCAATGCCATCATGTTTTGGACCTTTCTGGAGGAGCTGGCGCGATTCAGCGCTAGTGTCTTTTTTGTTACACCTCTCGAGGTGTTCCCCAAGCAGCAGCTGAAGCACATCCACGCGGCCAATGCTGTGATCTCCTCACAGCGTGAGGGCTTCGAGTTGAAGAGCGAAATCGAAAAGCGGAAAGAGGAGGAGACGCGGGACGTTTGGTGAAGAGACCCTGAGTGCGTTTGAATCGATTCAACCGTGCGCGGGACGCGGGATGTGCGTGTTTGCACTGAGATTCATTGGATTTGTTCATTTGTTCAGGAAGAACTCAATGTTTGTACCTTCGCACGGACTTCAAGAGCGATATTGGAAGTTGGCAAATGGGCTTTGGGACTACTGTAACCAATTTTGTGAGTCGTGAGACGCGAAGCCTCTTCAAACAGCAGTTTGACAGGAGGAGCAGGAAGCGCTCAGAAGGATGCAGGTGGAGTCTTCAGATGAAAGCCTCTTGGCACCGGTGTTTTGATTGGCACCTGTGCGATCGGATCGAAAGTTTCTTTGGCTTCGACTAAACGAGAACCTCTTGAGGACTCTCAGTGGAGAACTCCCTTGAAGAATGCATGTTTGGATGGATACCATTTCTTTGTCATGCCCAGCTTGTGATCATTTCTTTTGGCTTTGAATGAGGTGATCCTGAAGACAAGAAGCAGAAAAAGATGAAAAAGAAGTTGGAGAAGCAGAAGTTCTTCGGCCTAAGATGAAGTTATAAAGAAACCTAGTAACAAGAAGCTACTAGGTGGAGGCCAGCGCTATTAGGTTGGAAGTTAGAGGCCACTACACTACTACTACTACTACTACTACTACTACTACTACTACTACTACTACTACTACTAGAAGCAAGAAGCTACGAGTAGCCAGAAGCTATCAGGTTGTGGATGGATGTGGCTGTGGATGGCAGTCGGTCGGCGCAGACCCCCAACCCAAGGCAAAAGCTGGAGAAGCTAAAGCAGATGTCCGAGGCCAAGGCCAAGGAGAACGATAGACAAGATAGACCCAAAGAGAAAGAAAAGGTCAAAGAAAAAGTTTCTGAGAAAGAAGAGAAAAGAAGAGAGAAAGGGAAAGATAAAGAAAAGGCCAAAGACAAGCCAAAGGAGGAGAAGGACAGGGTGCCAGGAATTTCTGAATTTGTTTGGACCTTGAAGCGGACCCACTTTGAAGAAAGTAACGGATTTTGAGAGAAGTCAGACCCGTGAGGAGCGAAAAGAGAAGAAAGCCAAGTAGCTCGGCTATAAACCAAGACGAACACATCGTAGAAGCTACTAGTAACAAGGGCATCGCTACTAGTAACAAGGGCATTACTACTAGTAGCTAGAAGCTACTAGGAACAAGTTATATTTTTGCGCAACATATCGTTTTGTCGGTTTTGGATGGACAGCCCCGTGTCGTCTCGTTAACTTTCCCAAGGAAGCGACAGAGAGACTCCTCAAGCTGAAAAAGTGGCCGTCGTGGCGGGCCTTTGCTAGGGAAAGAGATTGTTATGAAAGGGATTTTAAGATCATGACATGGAAAAGAGATTCAGAATATCTACTAGGAGGAAGAAGCTACTAGGAGCAAAGGGCATCGATACTAGGAGCAAGGACGCTACTAGGGGCTCCTGGCCTTACTACCAGGAGCAAGAAGCTACTAGGAGCAAAGGGCTATATAGATGACAACAAGATGACAACTTCTCTTGGTAGCAAACATCTCACTAGTCCAGTGTTGCAAGTCTATCTAAATTCTCCATCACAAGCAGCTAGACGATGTAGCTAGTAGCTTCGAGTTCCTGTAACTCAGACCTTTGGAGACATTTGCATTCTTCAGTCTTCATCATTCGTCAGAGCAGCTGCAGACAAGATGCTGCTCAAGCTTACGTCCCTGCAAGCGTCCATCAAGCCTGAAGCTGTCGAAACCATCGACGAGCCAGTCTGGGAGCTAGAGGAAAAGAATGTGGAGGATGGCGCCGAAGTCCAAAGGAAGCTCAAAACAAAGATGGCCAAGAGGCTTGTAAAGAAGACAAAGAAACTCCATGACTTCTTAGAGGAGCACGGCTTTTCAGAAGATGTGAACGAACCGCAAAAACCTTCCTGCTTTTGTAGACGGGAGTGCCTGTATCCAATCCATGTTGCCACGAAGAATGGCGATGCCGAAGTAGTTCGGCTCCTTATTGATGCAGGCTGGGCTGAGGTATGCTGGCTGTTGATCTTGAGCTACACATGGTTCGTACACTCCGACCAACATGGAAGTGACGAAGACCCTGTGGTTTCAGTGGTCATCTTCACAGGGGCCATGGCCTAGTTCCATGTTATGTTAGTGAGTCTGAAGACATTTTTTCAACCAAACATTTCGGCGGAAGCATCGCGAGTGGCTTTTGTGTTTTGTGCAGGTGCGAATCCTTCTCAAAAGACCTCGAAGGGACGCAGCACAGTGGGGATCGCTCAGAAGGCCCACCACCACCATCTCGTCCCCATCCTCGAAGGGGCGAAACCTTTGTCTGCCCGTGAACTCATGAAGATTCAGATAGAAAGCTGCTGACCAAACGTGGTGATTCAGCTTTGTCAAGCTGCGTGAAAGCATGAGAAGAGCAAAAACTTTGCATTCGCTTTGTCAAAGACACTACGAATGCGCTTGAAGCTGTGGAGAAAAGTGTCCAGGAGATTTTCCCTGTCGCCTTACAGCAGACTCCTGCTTGTCAAGGCGACAGAAATCCACCCTGCCTGGGCAGCTCCTGAAAGAGCCGAGATGCACGAGATGCAAAGTGTAAACATCATTCTTCTTAGCAATGGCCTCCCGGGCCTCCTAAAACAGAGCTGTTTTCCTGTGAAACCGATCCCCAGAGCAAAGAGATCAATCCAGATCAATTGATCGTTTGGAGCACTAAACATCACCTGTCCTTCTTTGTCGTTGTGAAGTGCACCAGATCTGGGGAGAGGTTCTACCATTTATCAAGCTTTGCAGTCTCACCAGTATTTGTTGGCAAACACCTTCGATGGTCGTTTATGTGGCCTACTCTTTCTGTCTCCTTTGGGCAGAGAAGAGCTTCACAGAGCTCTAGTCTCGACCTTCGCCCTCAGACAGGATCATTTTCATGAGGGTGATGTCGATCCGGTAGATCTTCATTTTGCAAGATGAACATGGCGTGACAATGGACGGGGTGGACGAGTTCTGGGTATTCCGCGATGGCCCACACTGTTTGGGCGGTACGAATTGGTGCAAATAAAGCAATCTGATTCGGGCACTTTAGCAATCCCGGCAGTTTAGGCTGGCCCACATGGGCATGGGAATCTACTTGTCCTCCATTCGATGAGAAAGACTGAAGGGAAGGACACAGACAAATTCGTTCGATTTTAGTAGACAAGAGCCAAGTCTTCGAACCTTGCACGGTTTCCTTTTGTACGCCTAGGTCTGATTGTTCCAGTTTTTTCTTTTTGCGATTCCCGGCTAGAGGAAGCTCCTACAACCAAAAAAAAAAATTAATACTATAAGCAAGGACGCTACTAGGGGCTCCTGGCCTTACTACTAGTAACAAGAACGCTACTAGGAACAAGTGCATCGCTTGTAGTAACAAGTGCCTTACTAGTACTGTAGTAACAAGAACGCTACTAGGAGCCTTTTCGTGCGCTGAACACCTGCATTCCATTGGCTCCTCCAGCGGGGCCGGGCCACGGCCGTGAGCCTCGCCCGGGGATTGGGAGGCCGACAAAAAGTGGGAGCTTCCTTCTATTCATTTAGATGTGTTTAGACTCAGGCAGCTTCCCACAGATGTTACATCTGGATACAGCTGTCAGATGTTACATTTAAGTATTTTCTTTGTCCGGGAAACCTTGGAGACGATTTTCTGCATTGTTTGATTTCATTGGATTTATGATCTTGTTCCTGCAAGAACCATGGCTTGGAGAGGGTGCCGAAACACTGCGCTCGTGTTGGGTTCTTGACGAGGCGATGGCTTCAGAGCTAGCGGTGCTCCCTAGGAGCAATGCGGCTGGGAGCCACAGTGGAGGGGGCCTGGAGCCAAAAGGT